TTTAGTATTTTTTGGTTTAGAAGTATTGTTTTAATTATGATTCGTTAGTATTATTTCTAAGTGATCATTGTTAACCATAAGATCTCATTTAAGGGTAAACTGATTGAATAAAACCTGATCTCAAGATTAAATTGTAAGTCAATAAGTATGTTAAGAACATTATGGCAATAATAAAAATCTGTTCCTAAGAACAGATCGTAGGAGAGTCAATTTTATTAATTTCAAGATCTCATTTACGGGTAGACTAATTGTACTAATAGATCCTAATTACTTATTACCCAATTGTTTGCTTTATAATTCAAAGACTGCTAAATAATAAAAATCCATAAATATAAACCTGATCTGAAGATTTTTTTCTATTACTGATTACCTATTTTAATTATTACAATAAGAGTGTAATAAATAAATATCTAACAATACGTATTATTGTGGTATATTTTTTCATTTAATTAGTATTTAAATTATTTTAATAATATCGTACTACCTCGAATGTTCAAGAGTTTGCTAGTATAAAGAACGTACTTGCTGTAATTAGGTTGCATGAAAAGGATTGTGACCCAAACTCTTCCATAGTTTTACTAAGCTTAAATATCATACTACGATGTTACTAGTCATAAATATCACATTTGCTTCTTTTAAGTTAGTTATGCGTAGTAAAGTACTATTGGCTTCTCCTGGTTCACTAGTCATAATAAGTTTTTGGAGATCTTAAGTACTTACTAAAACATAATTTACAAATGCATTGCCATAGACCATTGACTTACAAATAAATGGACGACGGGTCTAATACAAAAACCACGAAAAAAATGTCCAAGTCAACCTATTTAAACGTAGTGACATGTAAAGGAATATGAAAAAGCTAAAACGTTGAATTTAAATTGTAATGTCATCGCAGTACTGTCTAATTTTGCTTGGTTCGCTGTCAGTCGAACAAACGAAGACTAAAGCGTGAATGACGCTCTGTATACGATTTTAACGCCCTATAAGTTCGGACACTTTTTAGCGCGGATCCGACGTCCATATAATTGTAAGTCAATGCCATAGACATATACATTATGATCATAGATACCCAACAAAATTAAAATAACTGAAACATGACTTTTGGTGTAGGAAGGAATAAATCGTTATCTAATAGGTCTTTTGTGTTTATTTCTGGTGAATCAGCATAGATATTGGTTTGATAAAATCTTCAAGTAGTCATCATGACTGTAACTGAAACTATGTGACGAAACGCATGGAAAAACATCTCGTTTTAATAGATGAGGGATGTTAATGAAAAATTCGTTATTAACGCTAATTATTTTAGTTGTAAACAGTGTTTGCAGTTTAACCCATGACGTCTTAGAGACATAGCTTAACGAATTTTACTGCAAGATACATACAATAACTGATAAATGTGTTTTAATGTGTCTAGAAACAAAAGTTATGTGGTTGTTATTTTTAAAGCGGCCGCGAATGTTTTGGAATCGTTCAGAATTTCAACTTGTTTTTAAACACCGTGGTGACAAATGTTTATGCATCAGCTAGGTTAATATTTAGAATTATCTCAGTACAAAGTACTAAAAAAACCGACCTCAAAAGTACGTGGAAATACATCTATTTGCCAAGTTT